CTACACGAATAGAGCTACAATCTCTAGGAACCAGTTTACCACAGCCTTAATCTACACAGTGGATTGAACATACCTCCCAAACAAAAGCAATAATAGTTTCAGTACGAATTTATTTCACTTAACAGCACACGAGGTTGATAATATGATTCCGTCGGCTTACGTTTCGGCGATTTCGCCTTCTTCGGAGCCTGAAAAAAAGGTAGAAACCAATTTACGACTTATCCGACCAAATGCTTTGCTACCCTACGAGACCTTCGAGGCCAGCTAAGTCATCACATAATTAAGGCAGATTAAGTACCGTACCTCCCAGATCGGCGGAATCAGCTCACAGTAAAGACAATATGGCAGTTATCAGACTGATCAGAGAATTCCAGGGTCCCGGCTGGAAGGCTAAGGCTCCGAAGAAGGCGAAATCGCCGAAACGTAAGCCGCCGGAATCCTATTGTCAACCTCGTGTGCTGTTAAGACAAATAAATTCGTACTGAAACTATGCCGAGGTTCATCGAGAGTCGAACTTGGAGTCTAATGCGCAACAAGAATTGCCTTCCTTGAGCTCATGGACGAGAACAAAGGCTCCATGGTTTAGGTGAGGACAACACAAAGGGCTCACTTCTGCTTATATGAGGAGATTTCAGAAATATCACGTTCATCTAACTCATGTCCTAATAACGCATAAAATTTTGCTGATACGCTTTACAAGTTAAGAAACTTTTTTTCTCCCTTATGTACATAGTTTACAGCGCGCATACTCTCGCCTCCGGGCTAGCCCGATCAGGAGACGTGCTATTCTCATAAGTGTTAGGAAATTCACAAGGTATAGGCTATCAGGCCGCGACCACGTATGTCCCTTTGGTAGGCAGGTTTGGTGAGAAATATGGAAACAATGAGAAAGCTCTTTGTTTAGAGTGACCCACTGACGATGGCGTGACACGCATGTGCGTCACATTTTCACACAAATGACTCGTTTTACGCGATCTGTTTAGCAAATTTCTTTTTTGAATCTTAGATGCTGTCCACCACATATTACCGCATCAGGGAGTAATACATAATAAGTGATTACCAGAATGAACTTTATGTGGTGAAATTTTTTAAGGTTACTGAAGGATTGACATTTGACGGTATTGGGAAAGAATAGCAAAGATCTACCAGGAAGGTCTTTCAGGGCGTGACAAGCTTTTTGAAAACGGTCTTTTGCATGATATAGGGGCAGATGCGGGAACCACAGTTCAATTTTTCCTGAACGGCCCTCTGAATACCAGAAAAGGAGGTCCCTAGTTCGATTCCTCGTGGTAACAAATTTTTGCATTTCGAGTTGACGTGCCAAAATTCGCGCAAAATGGAGTTAGAACCAACCAGAAGAACAATCAGAACTCCATTTTGCGCGAGGCGAATTTTAGAACGTCAACTCGAAATGCAAAAATTTGTCAGGCGCAGGAGAGGAATCGAACTAGGGGCCTCCTTTTCTGGTATTCAGAGGGCCGTTCAGGAAAAATTAAACATGGTTCTGTGGTCCCCGCATCTGCCCCTATATCATGCAAAAGACCGTTTTCAAAAAGCTCGTCACGCCCTGAAAGACCTTCCTGGTGAGATACACGCACTGGGGCTATCGTCCATGTGTTTATGTGTCTTTGACGGCCGCTTTCACCAAATTCTAACACCACATCACAACCGCACACGAAACTTTGGACCTTTTAAAACATTGCTCATTGCAGGTCTTGCACAGCTCGATGCGAAGCAATCAGGAAAAATGGGATCACTGGCCATCACGTACTACGTTCTTACAACAGCTATTGCTGTCGTTGTTAGTAAACATCTTTATTGGTTTTTCTCTCGAAAATCTTCGTATGCTTCCAATCCATAATTATTCCTTTGTATATGAGCAGTTTTGTCAGCAAACCATCTGCAGCGCTAAGCTGTTATGGAGGTACCGGACAGAGGCCCGTCGCACGGCAAGGAGGCAGAGTTAAAGCGAACGGAGGTCGGCAGCAGCACTCACACTCACTCTCGCTCACAGTCAGCAGACGGGCGGTCGTATTTGATAGGGGGTTGTGGAGGGGGTCGTACGTGCCTTCGCGTTGTAAGAGAGTGCAGTGTGTGAGTGGGCAGCGGCGGGGCGAGACAAAATTTACCGGCTTTTAGGCGGCGCGTACATACACCCCCCCCGCAAATTGTTTGGGTAAAATGTTGGAAAGAGGGGGTGTATGAAACATTTCGATGAGGGGAGGGCGGGTCGGTAGAAGCATTTTTGGGGGAACGACGAGTGAGGCGGAGACGATAGGACCGAGCCCTGGGCGCAGGCGCGTGATGTGGTGAGTGTGAGTACGGGTACTAATGCGTACATTGTGTGGTGACCGACGCGAGCGCGCTGCGAACCCGTCCGCTGACTCTGCTGTTAGCCGCGCGAAGGGCCTCCTGTCGGATAGCCGGTGTTATGTACTTGCACGATGAGTTATAAAGTAACCTGACGCATCAACCTGAAGAAACTAAAGAAGTCGTGAATCATTCCCTCGCTGGGCCTCATTTGTCACGTTATCGCCTCTGCCGTTCATCCCTTATCCGTTTTCTGTTGAATAACGCGCATTACTCCCTTGAGGTAAAATATTTACAATTGGGCGCTATGGTAAGATACGGGGCCATCTTCTAGGATTAAGCTTGGGAAGGGAGGAACTTCGGTCGAATTTGAAATTGCTCACGCACCTTGGAGTCTCTCTTTCTCCACTTAGGTCTTATTGTTAGTCCCGATGTTAACTACAAGGAGATGTTTGTCGCTGTTCTAAATGCATTCACACCACAAAGCCCCCCCCCATTATGCGATAGCGCCCAAGTTTGTAACATTATAGCAACTGAATTGGTAATATAGCAGTGCACTAAAAAAGCTAACATCTGATCGCAGTCTCGTTTAAATTGGAATTTTTCCAGACGGGAATCATACTTGTGTTGACTATTCATCCTGGAGATCCGAGCATCAAACAGGATCTTGGTGAAGGTACAGAAGGCAAGAAAGTCAGCACACTAGACACCTTATTGGATTTATTACGGTAAGGTCTTTCATGGAAGACTAGTGCTAATTCCGAAGATTAAGCATGATATATAGTTTTTCTATATCGACCATGACTATAACTGTAGGATAAAAATAACTGAACCAGAGCGATTCTGTTTAGGAACATGTTTCCGGAGAATATTGTCGCTGCAACTTTCCAGCAGGCGCAAACTAAGTACATTACGGTTCGCCCGAAAATCTTAAAAGTGAATGACACATTGCATTTGGAGATGCTCAACAACGGCACCCTGGACTACGTGAAAGCCGCGCTTGAGTACAACGACGGCATCAACGTGTTAGGTAAGTTTTCCTACAAATATTGAAAAATGAAACAAGAACGTTCACTTCGGTAAAAAATCGGATAACTAAGCAGATTTCAAGTAATTCGAGATGATAGCGTAAAACTGTCGCAAAAGTTGGTGGTGGAATACATCCACGAAAACGGTGAACGGTCGCAGGACTTCTGTCAACCGTGATGCTAGGCATTTCTGCATTTGTAGGTGTGTCTGTCGTGGGTCTCTGCAGATCCACGCTATTGACAGCACTGTCTGTCTCTTTATTTCATTTGAAAAGGCTGATGTCCTAATTAGTTACTCCAAGTCTGTTGCCAGTTTCGTCGACGCTCTCACCTTTTGGTTGACTAGAAGTTCCTGTTGACCGTGGTTGAAACGGGAAAAACTTGGAACGCAAGTTTCAACGTTAGGACCTTTGACGCAACTATACGACCACAGCCATCACTGTATATTTATTTCCACCTGGGTTTTCCAATAGTCTATGATCAGGGAACTTGGAAAACCGATTAGAAGAATGAACGAGAGAATGTCCTTTTTTTCCGTGAGCATTATCTGCTACGCCCTTTCTACGCCAGCTGTCCATGAGATGGCCTTTGCCGGGAAAAGATTCGTATTCAGAATTTGTTTTGGCAAATTTTTTTCATTGGTTCTTTACGACCACCAGTATACACCCTACACGGGAGAAAAAGGAATTCTGTTTGTGCGCAAATGCTTTGGGCCCCAATAAACCATGGCATTTCAAATTAGTGTATAAAATCATAAGTTAATTCATGGGTGTATTTTCGATTTCTGTAATAATTGAATATTATGGCATTAACTGGCCTATTTTGATTGAAATAATTGGTCCTAACTGGTCAAGTAGTCTATATCAAGCTTATTCATTCAATTGGTGTTTGAAACCAGTGTCTAATAGAGGCGAAGAAAAAACCAGTCACCGAGCACATAGAAGGTCTTAACGTACTCGGTAAGTTGATCCGTCATACCCATGGAAGTGTTGTGGAGTAAAAGTAGATAGTAGAAAGCATTTTCATTCCCAAAAACCTCAGTGTAAAATAACTTCCCCTGAAAGAGAAGTGTGCTAGCAATTAGTCATAGGCAGATGCTCAAAATGGTACGAGTGAAATAGTCATTGCACCTTCACTTCCTATATTTTAGGTATTATCGTCTTCTGCATTGCGCTGGGCATTTCTTTATCACAGCTTGGAGCTGAAGCCGATGTTATGATCCAGTTCTTTGCTATCATGGATAAAAGTCATCATGAAACTCGTCATGACGGTCATGTGGTGAGCTAATATTCACGGGAGTAGGACACTTATTTTTTTTCCCCTTTCCAACAAAAAGGAAGAAGTTTTGGGTTGATGTACACAAGGAAACCGAATGCGTCACCACCAACGAACAGGGGACACCCACAAAATGTTAAATGTTTTTTGAAAAATGAACGATTAGACCTATTTGCAATGTATCTCTATTGCAGACATCACTGGTTACAGAATCTTCATTTTACCTGAAATCACTTATCACCATGACACTACTAAACAGATTTATTAAATGCCGTCGTATTTTGTGTTATGGCCTGACCCGCGGCTTTCTCGTTCTTCTGAAAGGAAGGGTATTCAATAAGCGACCAGAAGAACATGACTGACCTAGAAGGCAGGTTCAGCCCCTCTTTACGCAGCTTCCATCTAGGGAGGTCGTGGAGTATTTTGGAGGGTGAGATCGTATTTAGGGCCAAACAGCTGAAAGGAGTGCGGTCGTAATTTCAGAAATCGGCGGGGTCGCCAGTGTGGCAAAAAGGGTCATTGTGGACGTTTTTGAGATTTAAAATGAATAGTAAGCAAAGAGTTGGTTAAATTCATGTGAGGGGCGGAGTGGTTAAATACAGGGGGGGGGGGTTGCCGCTTCATTACACTACACAGATTTACTCTAACCCCTTTCCCCTCCTGTTCCACGGCCGTTTTGGAGGAAAAAAAGAAAGTGGGCGGAGTTGGAACGTGTCGGCTGGTGACAATTCAATTCTGTAGAAACAGCTATGGTGGTGAGAGTGGCGGTCGGATGTGGGGAAGGGTGGCGGGTGGGGGTGTATCTCTCCGTTACGCTCAGAAAACGCTTTTTAGGTATCAATCTCTCCCTCTCCCCCTCTGGTTTTTTGATGTGTTACCAACGCCCTGACGAAAATTGGTCAGGTTGAACCAAATACAACAACAAAGTCGACGTCCGCTTACCGGAGTGGCAAGAGGGTAGCAGTGATCGTCCACCCAAATTCGGGCCAATGCCGCGGTGACCCTCGGAGGGACTACCGCTCCATTGCTTCAAGGCATCTCGGCACTACATGCGCCCTTTGGCAAATGGCCATTGTGAAATGAGTTCTTCATTCCGGGAAAAATAGCCGTCCCTTCCCTTGTACTGTGCATTCCGTCAAGATCAATTGCCTTAGATGAAATAGTGCTTCTAGGATTGATTTTTAAGAAGGATCCTCATGCATTTCCCTCTTTCATGAGAACAATGATTCCAGGTACTCACCTTTCGGAATTATGTGTCTTAATTATGGGGAAAATTCTCGAAATCCAGGACCTTGCCGATACTGCTCGAATGTTGGCCATGTACATGGTTACGGTAGGTCTTTGAGCATGTTTTGATCTCCACTACTAACAAAACATCACAGTGTGAGATAAAATGAAGCGAACTTGAGAGAGAGCTTTGCATTAGTTCATAGGGCAGGTAGAATACACCTTATTGGCATAAAAACTTCAAATTTCAACACCCATATATGCGGTGTAGCGCATGCAGGATGACCTAATTTTGGGTTCGTATATTCGTTCAGTCATGATTTGTAGACGAAGAACTGAGCAGCTACAGGGGAAACGAGGGCTCGAGAAGAAGTCATATCTTCACCGATTCCAGCACTAAGATCGGGAACATAGCTAACCCCCAACTGGACCTTTCCAACTACTACGTACGGAAGATGCCGGAAGCGGAGGGTTTGACGTCTTGGAAGCTGCGTATGTACCGCCAGTAAAAGTAAAACAGTGTAAGAGAAGGAAGAATTTCGTGACCACGGACCGCTCTTGGGGTGTTGGTCCTGTTGGATTTTCACTCACCGGCAAAGGGCGGCGGATAATTGGTGAGCGGTGGGCATGTGGACGAGTTTATCGGGCTGATGCGTGCCGTGGCTACCATGTCAAATCCATGCGTTCGCAGTCCGAGCTGGCTTTCGCGCGTTGTGTAGCGTGCTGCGACACCCAGTCTGCGTGGAAAGTCACCATCTGTACTATGTAGGAAGTTGGTGTAGTGGCAGGTGGTGCAACTGACACGCGCGGTACAGAAATATCATATCCCTGGATCGTGCCCGTCTTACGGAACTACCCAAGCTCTTCGGCGCGAGTCATGTTTAGGCGGTGCTAGACGTATTATGGTGTGACAAATCACTGACTTTGTAACATCGGATGCCCGCACAAGAGCATCGTCAGAAAGCCAATCTCGCATTAAACTACGATCACTGAAATGGAACAAGAATGCGTGTGCGCATGGAAACATATTTCCAAAGAAAAATCTAACGCAAATTCCGTAAAAATGGGCCAGTAATGGACAATTTATGCCTCTTAAACAGGAATATAGTTGCTATGAGCTTCCACATAAGCCTCCAAACTTAATGAACGTTTCTCGAATTTAGGTGCTAACTGGATTGGCGGTTCACTCACTTATATCTCTCCCACTTATATTTTTCTTAACGACTCGCCAAAATCCTTTCAAATTCATGCGTGGTCTCCTTCAAGCATGGATCACGGCACTTGGAACGGCGTCCAGGTATACCTTCATTTGCCTCATAGCTCAAAGGAATACTCGTTAATAAGCTTCTCTATACAGCTCTGCAACTCTACCGATCACCTACAATTGTCTAGAGGAAAAACCTCGGAGTTGATCGAAGGGTAACACGATTCGTTCTTCCTGTTTTGGACGGCTCATCCATCTAATTATGGTATGGTGCAACTTCCAAAGATTCTAAGCAAGCGAAAACCTAAAGCTTTCAAGAAGAACTAAGTCGAACTGAACAAAACCAAAATTTCTTTAGGATGGAAACGGCATTGTACGAAGCGGTTGCTGCCATATTCATCGCACAAATGAACGGTGTTCACCTGTCATTCGGTCAAGTTGTCACAGTCAGGTTAGGTTCATAGAATTCGCACCGGATTTCACGCTTCCCTCGTTTTTCCCCGTGACTTTGTTTGAAATTCCGACTCAACTGATGCAGCTCCAGAAAATGTCGTTGTGATAAATCTTTCCTAAGAAGGAGCGACTATCAACTGTATCAGTATTTCGTTCACATAACAGTTTTTATTTATTATTTTATTTTTTCAATTATAATTTGTTTATTTATTGGAATGTTCGCTTCAGTCTGACCGCCACGTTGGCTTCGATCGGTGCAGCATCGGTGCCGTCGGCCGGCTTGGTCACAATGCTGCTGGTGCTCACAGCCGTTGGTCTTCCGGTGAAGGACGTCTCGTTGATCGTTGCTGTTGACTGGCTATTGTAAGTTGGGATATTGTTTGGTTTGTGCAGAATCGGTTCCAGGCGTTAATCCTAGCTGGGCGATTCCGTTATTTCCTGCTTCATTCTAAAGTACGACGCTATGCTTTTCAAAATCATTAGGCCTCGAGGCAGGGTGAATATCGGTCGAGGATTCCTCAACGGCACGTCGAGGATTTTCGCCTGATCAGTTACGCTCTCCGCGCGGACATTCACACTCGCCATGCGCGAGCCGTCTGTGCTCTCCGCGCGTACGTTCACTCTCACGTACGTTCACAGTAGTTCGAAAGTAATGCCAAAAGCCGCAACGCCCATGGTCGAGGATTTCCTCGACCGTTATTAACCCTCCCTCGAGGTTTATTCAGACCGTAGCTCAGTGGCAGGCTGCTCTCCCTGTAAGGTACATAGCATCCAGTGTAAGCCACGAGGTTGAGCATTAATCCCCAAGTCTCAAGGAAGCCCGGGTTGCGCTAAGCAGTTTTACAAAAGTATTACTTTTTCTACACGATAAGAATGAAAAATAACGTTTGTCGAGGTTCTCAATGTCTTGTGTGCCTGTAGAAAATGCCTTCTGGCGCAATCCTAATCGGTCGCGCACGCCGGTTTTTGATTACGGTAGGCATGAATGTATGTCCGGGGAAGGAACTGGTGCCCACTGTGACGATATCACGAGAATCGAGGGGATTCGAGTCCAGGGGAGTGTAAACCCAGGGGGGTGAGGGCAGTCACTGACATGACATGAAATGCTGTACTACGTCATAGCAGTTGGCACCATCCTCACGTACATATATTTCTCGCCTACCGTATTCAGAAAATGCGTGTCCGCTCGACTAGCATTCCATCCGCCTCGTAGTGATGGGCACCGGACCATATTTCTCAGTGATCTAAGAAATTTGATGCTGCTCTGCCAAGGGACGCCCAATACGGCCCGCCTCCTAGCAAAATACTTCAATATTCACCCAACCCTGGCTAACCGGAGCAGGCAGTTTTGGCTCGCTCACTGATCGTCTCACTATGATCATGTTCAGAGACCGTATTCGCACATCAATCAACGTGCTCGGGGATGCGTTTGGTGCCGGAATCGTCTACCATTACGTGAAAGAGGATCTCATCGCTCATGATCGTGTTCATCCATTGCGTACACTGTCATTGGGTGAGTTCACCAACATCTTTTCGTTCTTCCATTCCTTGCAATCGGTCTGTTTTAGCAATGCCAGCAGGTTTTGTCGCTGTTGACAACAGAGGTGTCGATGGTTTGTTTGGCCAAATTCCTAGAACTTTCTGTCAATATCCCTTGCTTCTTAGTGCTTCTTCCTGTCTCATGTTCTCAGCAACAATTTTCAACCAATTCTCTTGGGCCTTCTTTTATGCATGGCGCATTCAAACGAAAACGCACTAGCAATTTCAAATACTAATACTTTGAAGGCAAACCCCGGGATTAGCCCGGCTAGTAGGAGGAGGGATACCACGAGGGAAATTGTAAGGTCCGTACTAACTGGATCACTCCAGCTTCGTCGCAAAACTGCGCGGTTAGGGCGCTAATCCTTACGGGCCTCGACCATTCCAACGCTTCCCACCCACCGCGAGAGGTGGTGAGATCAGCGTGCATTGATGTAGAGATCAGCGTGCTCTCTCAAACGACGTGCTCTCTCGCGTATTTTGTCTTCTTTGACCGCCCTTCTCGCCATCGTACCACATCCGACCCTATTGAAGGTTAAGGCCTTAATTTCAGCGTTCCCAAAGATTTCTCTTGCTTTCCTTTCCACTTTCAGGTCGTTCCGCAGCTAAGCTATCACTACAAAGCGCTGATAGCACCTGTTTAATCCCGGAGTTTGCCTTTAAGAAGCCAATTCTCACCATACCTCGACACCCCCGAAATGCTGCTAGCTGTAGTTCAACCTGGCAGCCCATAAATTTTACTGAAGCATGAATGAGGGTTTCAAGTGGTGATAGAGCTCTCGTCAACTGTATCACAACGACAATGAGAATGCATACTTGGAATATGTGCATGGGGCCACCCGATGTGCAAAACCATCATTTTTGTAGGACGGACCTTTTGCTGGTCGGTCACTTAAAGCCACGAGTCGGGATTAGGTCCCAAGAGCCAGTCCCTTCTAGAGTGAGAAAGAGGGGTCCTCCAAGGGCAGGAGGCACGACACTGTCGCGACTCAAAAGTGCGAGGCAACGGCGCTAAGGCCTTGCCTTGTGTGCTGCCGTGCTGCCCTTATCAACCACGGCATACGTGGTCTCTGCGCCCTCTCGCGTACGACGTACTATCTCGCGTTCTCCCTCTCCTCGCAGCGCTGTGTCTCTCCGTCGTACTACGGCCGGCCTCCTAAGGGAAATTTAGTGTTTTCTATGGTGCTTTTTGCTTTTTCTCCTCACTAATGTTCCTCATTGCACCCTTGCCTAATTTGAACAAAATAACGCATCAATTCAATCCCGACTCGTGCCTTTAAGGCTAATTCCGGAATTTCTGGGCGCAATGAAGCTCTTGCGGGAGGAATACGGAGTGTGCAAAGGCGCCAGCTGTCTGAGGGCTTCACCCTCAGCTGTATTCTCCGCCCACTACAACAAACGCCGCCCCACGCCAATGCTAATTCGCTTCGCCGCTTCTGAGGGGGGAGGGGGGTGGAGGAGAGATTTATTTTCGCCTTTATCGACGAGTTGCTGCAGTATTTTTTTCTTTACTGGCGTTACACTTCACATTTTCACTGTCATTTACAAGCGCAATAACATATCAGTCTAATTTTCTTGACTCTTGGTCGCCTCTAACTGTAGGTAAAATTCTCACTAGCAGTGTAGGTAAAGTACTCACTAAACTGACAGACTACAGTACTCTAGATGAAAGTCTCTCT